ACCTCATCTCCTCCCTCCCTCGCTGGCTTCCTGGGATTCTTCACATGCCCCCAGCTCCTCCTGCCTCAGGACCTTTGCACTTGCTATTCCCGCTGCCGGAAGCAGTTCTCCTTGTATTCCTGTATTCTCTCTGACTCACTCCCATCATCCCTCACAGAGGCCTCCCCTGACCACCTGGCCCAGTGGTGCCCCCCGGGGACCATCTCTGCCACTTTGTCACGTCATCATCCTTTATTTCCTTTTTGACATGTTATCATTGACTTCGGAGAGGAAGGGAGAGGGAGCGAGAGATAGAAACATCAGTGATGATAGAGAATCATGGACCAGCTGCCTCCCGCACGCCCCACACTGGAGATGGAGCCCGCAATCCGGGCATGTGCCCTGACGGGGACTTGAACCATGACCTCCTGGATCATAGGTTGACGCTCAACCACTGAGCCACACCGGCCGGGCTATTGTCTCATCGCTGTTATCACCAACAACACCATCCTTATTTGTCACAGCCCTCTACTCAGACGTCAGCGCTGTGAGGGCAGGGTTCCTGCTGGGCTCATTCACTGCTGTGTTTCCGGTGCCCGGGGCAGCTCCCGGCAATACCATGGGTGTTTAATAAATCGTTGTTAAGTGGATATATTGACTTTTACCAGGTCTGGGCACACAGACTCTGTTGTTTAAATACTTTTCTCTCAACTGTTTTAGTCTTTTTACTTCCTTTATTTCAAAGGCAAACTTTTACATCACCACCGTGACTAGACAGTGACAGGGCTCTGGGAGGGGTCTTATTAAATTTCACCTTCTTCCTTGTGGAAGTTCTGAACCGTTGAGAATAAAACTAAGGAGTCAGCAAACGGAAGCCGAAATGGCACTTGGATGAATCTGACCAAGGCGAGGCTGGAGGGCGCGGGCTTCCTTCTGAGGGCCACGGTGACGCTGCTGCCGGGCGCCTGTCCTGCTGGCCACTTCCGGTGATCGGGAATGAATGCAGTTCTGTTGAGTAAATATCCAGGATTTGAACTGCAGGAGGTATAAATAGGTCCAAGGCTAACCAACACTACAAACGTCTTCCTTAGCGGTGGGACCAGTTTACACGCCTGCCAGCAGTACGTGCACGTTCCCGTTGCTCCGCATCCCCGCCAACACTTGGTCTTTTCCGTTTCTTACCCTTAGCTACGCTAAAGATGTCCATGCATCGCTACTCTGAAATTATCACTCTCAACAATGTCTTGCTTTTACTGCCTTCATTAAAATCATTTTTAAAGACACCTTTGATTCTGTGGTAAAATATTTTAATATGTTGGTAACTATATTTCAGAATAATTGACTTTCTCTGTAATCCTACATATTCTGTTTTATGCACATAAAAACATTCAGAAGGAGGCACAGACATCGCTTGCTCCCTCAGGGCCCCAGGCTCCGAGGATGGGGCTGTTTTCAGGCCTTGGGCGCAGGGAGGGTGGGCGGTGCCTCGCGAGGCTTTGCTCACTGCTCTCTCCCTCCTCCCCTCCAGCTTTCTTCGGGAAGTACCTGAATGAGTACAACGGTTCCTACGTGCCACCGGGCTGGAAGGAGTGGGTCGGCCTCCTTAAAAACTCCCGATTTTATAACTACACGCTCTGCCGGAACGGGATGAAGGAGAAGCACGGCTTTGACTACTCCAAGGTAAGCCCTGCAGCCCCTGCAGCCCCTGCCCTGTTCCGCCCGCCCCCCAGGACTGTGCAGTGAGTCACCCCTGCAGTCAGGGGACTTGGGTTCAGAGCCCACTCTTGACATGTGTTATGTGCCCTTGGTTATGCTGCCTGCTCCTAAGAGCCTCAGTTCCCAGATCTGGGAAATGGGCACGCCCTTGCATCCTTAACAGTATGTACCTGTATGGCCCAGGAGCTGTGCGCGGTGCTTTGTGTATCTAATCTTCACAACAGTCATAGGTGAGTGGACTAGTTGAATTTGATTACATTATTCATTTGTTCCCTCAACAACTATTTATTGAGAGCCTTCTCAGTGCCAAGCTCTGTGCCAGGTGCTGGGTAGCCAAGGGTGAGCCACACCACAGTCTAGAAACAGGTGTGTGTGTGTGTGTGTGTGTGTGTGTGTGTGTGCGCGCGCGCGCGCGCGTGCATATACACAAACACAATAGCCATGTCTCCTATTTTGTCATCCCCAGTATGAGCCATTTCAACCATACGTAGCTGGCCGGTTATTACAACCACCTGAAAATCTTTGCTAGTGCTTTCCTGCCCTGAATTTATCCAAGTCTTATCTACCTTCTCTTCCAGGAAGTCTTCCTGGATTGCCCTAAACTGCAGGATTTACCCTTTCTTGAATCAGACTGTCCTCTTTCAGTTGTTTGTGACCAGAAAGGTAACTCGGACTGGCTCAGTTGACGAGGAAACATATTGAACTGATCCAGCAATAATAGCATTGGACGGAGCTGGGGCCAGGGGCTCAAACATCTTCAGGCAGTGGTTTCTCTCCCCTCTAAGTTCTTTTCTTCCCTTCGATCCCATTCACAGATGGACTCTCTCCCCTCCTAATAGCAATACGGCCGTCCTCTCGGCCTCCGGCCCAGCTGCAAGCGTGGGAGTCTCCCTCCCAGGACTCCCAGCAGTCTCATTGCACCTCATTGGCTCTGGCTCAGGCATGTAGCTCCAGAATCGAACAGTGATGGTGGGTTTATTAAGAAGATCCTCAGCCCTTCTCCCACCCACCCCACTGGCCGGAGGCAGCAAGCCAAGCTGGTGGCCCCGGGATCTCACCACGTCTCTGGATCCATCCTCGGGGCACTGACTGTTGGTTTCCTGTTGGGGTCCGACCTCTCCTTTTCACCCACGAGCTTTGCACCATTTTTAGATCCACTGTTAGTTACCTTTGTCATTGCAGAGCTTTTCTAACACCTTTAGGTCATGTTCCACGACTAGACCAGCACCTCTTCGATTGACGTAACATTATTTTGATGTAATAGCTTCTGCAGGCCCGTTATACAACCCTTTTGTGCTCCTAAGATTAATCATAAAAAGGACTCAAGGAAAAGCACCTCAAGTAGCCAGTGTCTTCCCCCCCGCCCCCTTCGCTCGTTTCTCACAGTCCCCGTTAGCGCTTGGAGGACTGCCCTTCAGGGTCCTTCCTTGATGCCTGTGAAGGTCGGGTTTGGCTTCTCCCACCGCTCTGGGTTTGACACTTTCTCCTAACAGTGTGTCTGGACAACTTTCCACCTCAGCGACGACAGGTCAGCTGCCCTTTAATGTCTGCGCAGCCCGCACAGTAGGACCACAGTGTGCACCATTGGTCTTCTTCCCGTTGCTGGTCACTGCTCTATCGACACCACCTCGGTGGCTGGCCGTGTGCACAGGTGCAGTGTGCGTGTCCCTGAGGCAGGTGCCTGCGGACCCCCGTGGCGTGTGTATCACACAGTACAGCTCAGGGTACAGTTGATGCCGTTTAGTCAGGCTCCTTCCCTCTAAAATAGTGTCCCTTTTTGAAAGTGACCAATTTGGACAGAGCTGCTTCCTAGGAAGCAGTGGGCACATTTCAAGAACCCATTACCTGCCAGAGAGATCAGCAGCTAAGGATTGGCCAAGTTCAGGAAGAGTTCAGACGCATCTCACCTCCTTGGCCGAGCTTGCCCGTCACTGTGCCTCCAGCTCTTCTCTCCTGCCGCCCAGGGTCTAAGCGGGTCTCGCTGCGCATGCCTCGGAGCTGCTCCCTGGCGCATCCCTGCATTGCACCTGCCCATCCTCTTTCTGTTCTCACACACGAGGCAAGCTCATTCCTGCCTCTGAGTCCTCGCACTGACTGTTCCCTCTGCCTGGAACTCTTCCCTAGATCAGGTTCTCAATCCTGGCTGCACATTGGAACCCCCGGGAAGCTTTTAAAAAGTCCAATGTCCGGGCTGAACAATTGAACCAGAAACTCTAGGAGTGGACTAGGCATCGATAAAGCTCCCCTAAGGATTCCAGCAGCTAAGGTGAACCCCGATGATATGGATCTTCCCAGGCCTGGCTCCTCATCGCTCAGGTCTCAGCTCAGATGTCACCTCCTCAGAGAGGCCCTCCTGGACTGCCCCAGCTAACGCGTGCCCCTCCACCCCAGCCCCCGGTTCATTGGCACATCTGTCACTATAACCCTGTCACAGTCTTGGTTTTTTGTTTACTTGCTCATCTGCTCCTACCCCCAGGTCCTGCAGAAATGCTGGGGAAAGACTCAGGCCAAGGCGGCCTGGTGGCAGCATTTCCCCCGTTGTGTGACGTCGAGTCACATAACCTCTCTGTGCGTTCACTTCCTGTTCTGGAAAACAGGGCTCGCGCCACACACACTTCCTGTGGATGTATAAGAATTCAACAAGCGGATCCACGGAAACAGAGCGGCTCCTGGCACAGCACGGCACTCTCGGAATAAGCTGTTATGTTTTAATGCCTGTCCCGCGTGAATGACAAATGGCAGTCTCTCGCCCGTCCTCCCTAACCTTCTCTCCATTGAGCACAGCACCATTTGACTTTCCTGGTTTTTGCTGACGTATTACCTGTCCCACAGGGAGGGACCGACCGGTTTGGCGCCGCTGTGTCCCGATGCCCAGCGGAGCCTGGCGCACAGCGGGTGCTCAGTACGCACGTGGGGCTCCTCACGCATTCTCCCGTGTCTCCCACGCCCCCCAGGATTACCTGACAGACCTCATCACCAACGACAGCGTGAGCTTCTTCCGCACGTCCAAGAAGATGTACCCGCACAGGCCCGTCCTGATGGTCATCAGCCACGCAGCCCCCCACGGCCCCGAGGACTCGGCCCCCCAGTACTCAGGCCTCTTCCCCAACGCGTCCCAGCACATGTGAGCAGCACCTGCCGCGGGGCCCTGGCGGGAAGGGAGGTGGGAGGGCCGCCGTCACTGACGGCAGTGACAGACGGGGCTCACGGGCCCGGACACCGCTCTCTGCGGGGGAAGGGGGACTCACGTCCAAAGTGGCAGGTTGTCAACTTGGGCCCCACATCCTCCCACGGGCGGGTCTGTGGCTAGACCTGCACTTCAGGAGGACGGGTTTCCTTTGTAATCCTGTCCGTTTCACAACTTCCTCTTGGGAAGGGTCCATGGCGTCATCGGACTCCAGTATCTCCGCCGCCTTTCCTGAGCATCCTCTTGGGAAGGGTCCATGGCGTCATCGGACTCCAGCTCCGCCGCCTTTCCTGAGCGTCGGCCACATGGCAGGCTCGATGCTGAGCCCTTTACACGCACCGCGTCACTGCAGATTCACAAGGAGCCTTGATATGTTAGTTAACAAATCCCCCTGAGACCCAGCAGCTCTAGCGACGGTGTGTGAGCTCAGAGTCTGGGGGTCAGGGGACGGGGAGTGGCCTTGGGGGAGGTTCTGATGAGGGGGCTGCAGCGCCTGAGGCTGCCTGGTCACCCCCATGGCGGCTCCTCGACCCCCTTCTCACGGCAGAGCAGCAGGGCTTCCTCCGGAGAAGCGACCGCGATGGAGAGAGGTGGATGGGGAGGTGACGGGAGGCTGAGGGGCCGTCGTCGTCTCTTACAACCGAGTCTCGGGTTGTGACACCGTCACTCTGCCACGGGCTGTCGGTCACACAGACGCGCTCCTGCCCTGTGACTCCCAGGAAGGGGCGAGGAGGGCTCTCTCGGAGGCTGTGCCTCAGTCACGGGTGGGATCCCATCTTGCAGGCCAGGAGCCAGGGGCACAGAGAGGTGAGGTCACTTCCCTCCGGCGGCCCAGCTGGTCAGTGGCAGCGTCGGGACTCACATCCAGCCCCCACTCCCACCTCCCACCTCTCGCTCACCCTCCCGTCCTCCTCCCTCCAGCTGGACAGCAGATCCTCCCGGAAGGTTCTGCTCTTCTCCGCCTCCGGCCACCTCCCGCTTAGCGGAGACACTCGACAGCCCTCGCTGTGACATTGGGCGCACGGACGGGCACGTTGGTGTTTCACGTTCCCTGCACTCAGAATGCGTGGCTCCCCTCGGCCCCTCTGTAACTGCTTTCCGGCAGCACCCGGGGGGCTCAGGGGTGTGGGAACCTCTGTCCCCTGGGCTCTGGGGAGGAGGATTTGTCGGGATGAGCTGCCCGCACGCCCAGAGGGCAGCACTGCCCCCCAGCACACTCCACCCACCCCACTCACGCTCCCCTTGGCAGGAGGGGCCCATGGCCAGCTCAGTCCCACCTAAGGGAGAAGCCGTGGGGTGGGAGGGCCCACTGCTTCTGTGGCTTCTCCTTCAAAAGATG